ATCATCAGATATTGTCCAAGATTAACCTTCAGGGTGGATATAGCTCGCTAGCAGCCTCGCCCCGAGGACCTATCCACGTCATCATTTACCCAGAATGCTTTGCGTGTAAATAAAATAGCCCCGTCCGTGTTAAAATATATTTTTTAACTTTCAGTTTAAAAAATGATAAAAAACTGAACAGTCTACAGTATTTTTACTTTTATTTTACAGTTAAAATATATGTTTACTAAATAAAGTTTAATGTTACAACTAATCATGGATCCCTTTAAATAAATCTTTCAGAGGTCTTAAAAACATTGTAGCTAAATAGGATTATTGTAATTCATCTCAAATTTTAAAATAGTTGGTAACATTTATTTAGTTTTTAAAAATAATTAACTGAATGTCTCTCATTATTTCGTTAAAGTAAACATTTGGGTAAAAGTGTTCGCTAAGTTTTTTGGGGAGGTTTTGTTCTGATGCATCTCATCTTAATCTTTTCGTATTGTTTTTTGTTTTGTTGGTTTTAAAATAAATTTCAAGTGGCATTAAAGAGGTCTTAAAAAGTCTTAATTTTAACTTGTTTTAAGCTGCAGGAACCCTGTTTAAGATTTTTATAAAACTCTTCGTTGGAGTCCCTCCTGAGTCCCTCACCTTTCTGTGCCCAGCTTAGTGGGCCGACCCGCTCAGAAAGGTGCCAGAACCAGAACCAGGAGCCGGTGCCAGGAGGCCCAGCTCAGGCTCTTCTCTGGACCATGAATGCTGGTCTTGGTGCAGACTCGAAGACCAGGACCCTCCACAGAGCGGTCTCTGAGCCCCCTCCTCAGAAAGAGGCCTTGTTCAGACCTGTCCCGTGGAGCTGGGGGGTACGGGCTGAGGGTCGGGGGGCGCAGCCGTCTGCGGTCGGGCTCGACCCGGGAGCGCGTTTGTCAGAACAAGGTTCTATCAGTTCAGATTAGAGGCAAAGCTTGACGGACAGGTTGGCTTTCTGAGGCGACGGACCGCAGGAGGAGGAGGAGGAGCTGCACCTCCTGGAGGACGTTTTATTATTTTACTGATTTTAATTAAAAAAACAAACTTTAAAAACCACAGAGACGTTTTTCTGACTTGAAATCTCATGATGAGAAAAATATTCAGAGCTTTTTATTTAACATTTTGACTGAGTTGAAACATGTTGAGTTTTAGTTTTAATTTTCCCCATCTGCATTTTTATTGCTGTTATTGTTGGGCTATGAAATTCTAGTCTGTTAGTAAAATATCTCATTAACGTGGGACAGGTTTTAGTGAAACTGGATCTAAATAATCAACTTAAGGAGTCAACTCGATTTAACCAACCACAAGAAACTCTTAGTTTAAAGAGTTTTACAGAAACTCTGTTCTGATCTCTGTGGTAGTAGCTGAGAATGATCCTCAGCTCAGTCTCTGAGGTGAGATCTTAGTTTCAAACATTGCGTAACAGGGTGGTGAGTGGTACACATTCCTGCACCAACGGATGAATGTTTCTAACCGAGTGTTGACCCGTGGTTTGTTTCTGAAGAGGAGGTTCTTTTAACAGAGATATTTTACTGAGTCTTTATCTTCTCCGGATTGATGTTTGTGACTGATGTCAGTTCAATATAAAAGCTTTTTACATCTGATAAAAGATGTTTTCAGTCAAGGACGTGTTTCATACTGAGGAGACGACTTTTATCAAGAGAATAAAAACCGAATCTTTCTGTTACAGAGAATCTGTTAAAAAAAAAACAACCAGAGGGCTTCAGGTTTAAGATGCAGATGATCCTGGACCTCTGAGTTACATCTGGTTCTGCAGTTATTTAGTGTATAATGCAGGAAAAACCTTTTCAATTTTTACTTATTTTCTCGCCTGTTGTTGACATTTTTCTGGGTAAAAAGTATATTTTTGTATTTAGCTTTTTAATTTAAGCCTCAGCTGCTGTAATATTGAAACTCATAGATGTTTTTAATATTCTTATGTTTTGCAGTAAATAAAAAAGCTCATCTTTTCTAATTAAAGTTTTTCTCAAAGCTGGAAGTAGATTCTGTGTAACTCTGTCATTAATCGGTACTACTTTACAATAAGGCTCCCCTTATCGATGGCTTTTAAAGAGTTGATAGTAATGTTATTAATTCATCTGTAAACGTTTTATAAATTATTAATAAGTGTTTCTTATGCATTAATTAAGGTCAAAAAAGAGACTAAACTGTCTTGTTTCTTTTGAAATACTGAGCCAAATCTGTTTGTGTATTAAACATTTCAGACTAGTTTACTACCTTGTAAGCACAATGAATATTAGGAAACGTCCTGATGCATCTCAGTAATCCAGGTAAAAAATCAAAAAGAAAAAAATAGCGAATAGAAATTAAATAGACTACTGTATTACATTTTACGACAAGTCTCCCTTTGATAGTTGTGAATATTAATAATGCAGTATAGAGAGGAACGTTGGTTTGAGAGAGGAGTAAAAGAAGCCATTTTTGTAAAGAAAGACCGTCCGTCATTAAACAGAGGTGGAGGCCTC